TGCTGTCCATTACATTTTATCTGAAGCACTCAGTGCTTGCTGCAACATCACACAATGCTTTCACTCTTCCATTGAAGGCATCTTGGTGGTATCAAGAAATCGGACCCCCAAATCATCAATTGTATAAAAGTATATAAAATATGGAACACAACTCCACCATGGACATAGTAAGAACAATTGCCCTTGCCTCATAGTAACATTGGTTATGAATGGCCTCTGGAATTCTGTCCAAACACATCCAGACCCCTTCATTTAATTTCCATGATCCCTTCACAATGAACTGGGAGATGTGGGGAAAGCACTCAATAAATTTGTGTCAGACTTCCTGGGTCCATTTCCTGCTCCCATTGATAAGGTCAGGGATATCTGTGGGAAGATTCATCACTATATCCCATGCCAGCCTCACCCATTGAAATGGTCATTATCTTCAAGCACCCGTTGTATACTTTGGACTAAAGCCATTGTGTTCATCAGAGGCAACCCATTAAGCTTATCATGGATTCATTTCCCAGGCCATACCACAATCCTTTTGGATCGCACCCCTGTCGGAGGCAGATCAATAAATGGACAAACATGTCAAATGCTTCCGTTACAGTTTATTGAATTTCCTGCCACACAAAGAGTGATGACGTCCAACAGAGTCCTGAGCCACTCAGGATGCATGTCCTAGCTGGACAGTTTCTGGGCCAGTCAGGTGCTGGAATCGGTTTCTTGAATAACTGTCAAACAAAATAATGCTCTGTATTTGCAGTTCGGATATGTCAGTTCTTTGGAGAGCTGTCTCTGCTGACATCCTCTCCAGCCATTGAGAATAAAGCCTCTGACTTTGCGCTCAACCCGTCTGTGTCTTACTTGGCATTCTGGGAAGCTAGACATTCCTGGCCCCAAACCCATGTCTGAAATCACATAACACTGGTAGCCTATATAGCATCTTTTTCTGGCTACAATCATCTAGGAAGTATATTTGAAATCCCAAGTATCCAGGACAGCAAATACGTATTGACTTATGTTGCACAAGCCTGGCTCAAAGAACTAAACTGTTTAGTGCAACAGTCAAAATATTGTTGCATGTAAGTAGATTTTGATTAAACACATGCCACAACTTGAAGGAGATAGAAAAATTTTCTTTTTTAGACTACTTATCTTCAATTTGCACTCCCTGGCCAGTTATAATCCAAAGAATGCTAGCAAATCAAACAGTCCTGCTGAAGAGAACTGTTGGGGACCATAATGTTCAGAACACTACCAGTAGAGGTCAGCAGACATGTATACTCAGGTAGCAGACAGAACAAGATTAAGATATTGTAATGTAGTTAATCAGCATGGAGGTTTCTCTGATGCCCACTTCAACACTCTAATATGAAATCAGGGCATTTTGGGAATCACAAGGCACATGCAGGGAGATAATCCTCTTCACAAAACGTGTGCAAATCTCTTCCTGTTATGAAAATTGAATAAGTGAAAGATATGGACAGGGCTGATTGTAATACTGTGACAGAAGGGAGTCTTACCTGTGAGAAAGGAAATTAATTGTAGAAGGAACTGCACAGGATGTAAATATGGGTGAAAGAAGCAGAAGAGTCCGCCATTAAAATCTTGGCATGGAACATTCTTAGATTTACATTATCCATGCAGAAAACTGTAACTATAAATATAAATTATTATTCCTAGCATTTCTTGATATATGATATCAATATGAAGATACTCAAGAGGTAGTAAGGATCTGAAAATGCAATTTGTGGTGATGTGTTTGTTGCTATAATTTGACCAAAGGATGCAGCCATGCCTCTTGAGATCATCAAACCCCTGCTGAAAATAGGAAACAGCATCCTACTGCTGTATTTCTGCTAGAAATAGCATAGGTGTCCTTTCTTTTCTGAGCTGGCAGTTCCAGGAGCTCCTTCCACCATGGTCAGTGGTTAGAGTTTGCAGTCCTGACTGGGAGGAGCGCCATCCATGATCTGCACTGGAAGGAGATTCTCTGGCCTCTTTGCTCCAGTCTAAAGTCTGTGAGGGCCTTATATGATTGAAACATGTTGCGTATGATTGTTCAAAAAGTCTCTGTGACAATTTTCACAGGTGGCAGCCACTCTCCAGGAGGCTTAGTTTGCAGACAGGAGTGTGTGCTAGGTATAGGCCTGCTTTAAGCTTTATATCATGTGGTCATGCCTAGAAAAAAGTACTACTATGGTATTTCATATGAACAGAATAATAATGCTACCTTAATTTTTTCATGTCTAAAAGCAGCTTTAGAGACCCACTTACCACCAAAGAGAAGTATGGAAATACATGTTTAGAAGAAAGAAGAAAATATAGATTGTTTTGTCACTATGCTGTGAATGTAAACAATTACTGATGGTTTAGGGCAGATAGAAGATTCCCTGATCATGATGGAATTGTATATTGGACATGAGATCCAAGAATACCAATTCTGTGAGAATACCTTATACAAATGTGTATCAGAAAGCTAAAAAAAGTTGGAAATACACTACTTTAGTTTCCACTCTATTTAGGCAGGGAAACTGCACAACCACTGATCTATAGCATTCATATCAGTAAATATTTTCCTTATTGTCAGATGTCAAATATTCTTGGAAATTATGTCTACACTTCCTGGTTGGTTCAAACAGATTTTCCTAAATTTTCCTAGTAGAATTCATTTCATTACTTCAGATGTAAAGAAAGTATATGATCTGAAGAGAAACCTTTACTAGCTGCCCTATTTACTAAGATCAATTACACAGACAAAATTCCCACTAGTTGGAACCAAATCATTGCGACACCAATTTTTAAAAAAGGGCCACTCAGTGAACCAGGAAACAATAAATCGATTAGCCTGCTTTCAATAATGAGAAAACTATGCGCATTATCTGTGTAAGAGACTGTCTTCCCTTTTGGAATCAAATAACACAATTACCGAGGCAGAAACAGCATTTAGAAAGAATTATTCACTATTAATCATTGCTTAGTGCTCTCTCATCTTGCCGAGAAATGCATCCGATGGTTACAGAGTAAGCAATTTATGGCCTCCATGGACTTGAAATCAGCATTTTACTCCATCTCTAGAAATAAATTATGGGAAAAATTGGATAAGACTTTGAACAATAAAAGACCTTTAGGCCTTATTAAGACCCTGCATAGTGACAAGCTACAGATCGGATGTGGCAAACTGGGACACTTTCTAGAGAAATGTTCATGCCCAGAGGAGTTAGACAAGGCTGCATCCTTGCCCCTACCTTGTTTAACATAGTCATTAATGCTCTGGGGGGAAAAAAAAACTCTCTCATACCTCAATGGATATCTGCCCAAGCTTGGAACAAGGAGAATTTCCATATTGCTCTATGCTGCTGGTGTGCTATTTAATTAGAGTCTGTTAAGGAAATTCCTGGATTATTGCTCACAGAATGACCTAAAAATCAATTACAGGAAATCTAAATTTCTGGTTTTGAGCAAAAACAAAACAAAAAAAACCCATGCTGATAGTCTTGCAATAGGCATACTTCAGAACAGGTTAGAAGCTTCCAATACCTGGGACTGCTTTTTCACCACAATTTGCCCTGGTCCACTCATACATCTTCTATTTCCCTGAAAGCACAAGTAAGCAGATCAGCCATTGTGCATTTTAGCTTTACCAAAGGGGTTGGTATATGCTATCTGCTATTAAAAAATTGTGACACCAAGGACAGCTACCCAGCCCCTGCATGCTTCCAGCATCTGGATTAGTTGTTTAACATAGAAGATAGACTAGCAGCAAGCAAGGTTTTAGAGGGCCCTTTTCCAGTTCCCCAGATGTGTGCCATCTTACATCTTGCTGCTAGAATCCATAGAAATCCCCCTATCAATAAAGTGGGTCACTGTTTTTAGTTTAGGCACTGGTCTAATTCACTATCTAGCCCAGGATGAGTACACTAGTAGCTGTCTTAACATTGATTCTTAAAAAGCCTCTTCTATCAGTCTTTCTTTATCCTCTTAACTCACTTGGGCTTTGGCATGGCACTTAAATCTGTTAAACAAAGATGGTGGAAAATTGCTTTCTGTGAGCTACATTCTTGCTCATATGTTTCTTGTTCCCCAAGTGCCCTGTGTATAGTGTGTATGCTGGGCCTCTCCACAAACCAAATTATATTAAGCACTTGACTGTGGCCAAATATTGCTGCCTCTTCTCCAAGGCAAGATGTAATGTGTTCATACCTGAATTGGTTTGAGGTAGATTTATGGAGTCCCATAAATATGCACTTTGTATGCATGACTTTTCCCATGCAAAAACCAGAAAGTTGAATGTATGTATCACATCTTACAGTCCTGCAGATTTTATAAGCAGGCTCGATTACATATTATTAAACCCACTACTGAGAAACTTACCTTGTAGATCGGCCCAATTCTATGTAAAGTTTTTATTAGGCTGTTGCCAAGTTTCTCTCCAAGGTAGCCAGGATAAGACAACTTCATGTATTAGACTCAGGCTGAAACCTGCCCTGTATATATTTTCACTGTTCTCGCTCTTGTTGATATGCACTTTGTATAGCATGTCATCCTGCATTTTAATAATTTATGAATTTGCCCGCATTTTGTGAACTATTTACTGCTGAGCCACTTGTAATAAAGGTTTGATTTAATACATATACTTCCCCACACAAACAGGATTATAGCTGGTATTTTTTATTATTATTGGCGAGTTAGATACATACATTCCTTTTGATGAATTTATTAACATCCTAAAGGACATTTAGCTATCCTTGTGTGAGTTGAGCCCTATTAAATTGAGAAACATTCTCCAATGTCCTTCTTAACATTACCCAAACCCACTGAAGGCTCATACTTCCTCTTAGCTTCACGAAAGGAAGAAGTCACACTGTTAACTTTATGTTCCATATTTTTAAACTTCCCATTTCAGTGGTTTTAAAAGGGTCCCTCCTGTAAAAGAAGGACTTCTTTGAAATCTCCTATAGAGTAGTATATTAAAACATGTCATGGGAAGAGGGTTCATAAATGAAAACAACTTCATTCAATTCTTCCTTTATTCAAGGGGAAAGTGATACAGAGTGGAATGATAACAACAAGCAATAGCAACTCTCTGGAACTTTAGACTTTTTAATTTCATTGCTCTCAGTTGTTGTACATAATAGAATTAGTGAAGATGGCATCAGGGAAACTGAATATCTCATTGTATTTCTTTTTAGGAATGATGAAAGTGCTGAGCAGTGTCAGTGGAATTGTCATCTATGTATCTGGAACAGTGATTTCTGGAAGCTTATTTGTATGTAATACAACTTCTCCCAAGAAAAGATGCCTGAATCAGTGGTCACTGTGGAATATATTAATGAAAAATATTTTTGGATTTAGGAGAATTAAGACATTTGTTTATAATCCCTCATAAAAACTCTGGGAATGTGGTTTATTTACATGCTGTACATTTTTTTTCTTTTGTCTGTACAGCTTGGACATCTGAGTTGGTTCCAGCTCTTTGTCCTTGTAATCAGTTCACAATCGCCTTGATATATCATTTGTCGATAAGACTTTATATCATAATATATGTCCTGTTTTCATAGAAAATAACCTTGCTGTAGTTTTGATTATTGTTGAAGGTGTAAGTGTGTATTAATAGAGGTCATTATAGAAACATGAGTCTTGGCAGGTTAGAACCCATGGTAATACATGGAAATGTTTAGTGTCTTTAAGGACCTCTAGAATAGGGCCATGGTTGGCTGCCCAGGTAGCAAACATGTGATACATTGGCAAGCATCAGATTGTGTTATTGTATTATTAATACATTTGCAAGAATTGGTGAAGTGGCCTTGTTCTTCATCAGTGACATACTGATGAGCTCAGCATTGGCAAAGCATTCAGTGTTGGAAAGGAGAGCTCAGAGCCCATCTTTTCACTGGGCATGGGCCAGTGCTCCAGCTCCTTGCCCAAAGCCAAAGCCTTTGGGTCCAAAGTTCTTGGCATAACAGCCTGCAATAAGGGAAAAGAAGTAATAAATAATTAGCAATTAACTCAAAAAGAAAAGTTATCAAAAAGAAAAGTTATCAGCAGAGTTGACTTAGGAGGGGCACAAAAATAGTCTAGGGACTTGCTGATCCAATTTATAGATTCAGCCCAAGCTTCTGAAAGTTACTTTTTGGTCAATATATCCCTAGCTATCATGACTGTTGGCCATGTTGTTTGAGGGATTTGGGGAGATGTAGCTCATAAAAGTAACTTTTCCAGGTTCTGATTTCAGATCGTAGTAATGTTATACTGAGGTCAGGCTTCTTGCTTCAGGTCACACGCTGAGGCAAAGGCAATTCCCGTACTCCCGATATGTTTTTTTTTTTTAATTGAGCAATCAAGGTTGCAATCAGCAGCACTTAGCTGCGTGAGAGAATGTTTTATGGAAAATGCACTGGAGGCAAAAGGAACAAAAGCTTTTTCCCATCCCCACCACCCAGATTTTGGTGGCTGCACTTAGCGAAAAATAACCACCATGAAAGATCATTCTCAGGGTTAAAAAACTATATGATGCAGAACTTCAAATTTGATTTAGCCATCAGAATGTCTGGTAAAAAGCAGATATGAAAATATTTTACAACCAACAATTTCACTATGTAACAAAATTTATTTATTTTTTCTGTTCCTGGTTTGAAAGTATTATTTCCTGTTTAATTGTGCAGTACTTACTTTTAAAGTAGTTGTTATATTCCAGAAACTTCATTTTTGTGGCTGAGGGTAGTACTATTATTTCCTTCTGTCTAAGCTTTTTGTTTGTAATGTTCCTTGATGTAAATATGTCATTTTTAACCTTTCAATGTGCAGACTTATAAACTTTTTATAAGGGAGGAGAGTGAGAAGGGATCTAGGTTTTCTATTTGCAGCTGTATCAAACTCCCAAACGATCTTTCATCAATAACAACATACTGATGGTGTTTTGTCATAATTTTGCGGAGCTTAGAAAAGGTAGGTTTTGGACTACAAATTCCAAAATCCTCCCAGGCAAATTGAAACATGTCCCCATAACAATTGAACCCATTAAAATAGTACACTCAAAACTGTGATCCGATAACACACACACAAACAAGGATTCTGGACATCACTGATCATTAGTGATCATGTTTAAGTCTGCCCAGAGCTTGAAAGGTGCCTTTTGAATTATAACTCCCCAACCAGCATGGCTCTGGGAGTTATAGTACAATAAAGTAATGTTCCAAATTGTAATGTTACATCTTAGCTGTCCAAGACAATCTGGAGAGAGAGAAAACTTCCTATGTATACATCTGAAAACTGATTAGCAACTTTAACCATCACAAGCTACTAACTGCCCAGCATGGTTGAGACATCCTAAAACAGCACTTATTACCTTTGCAATAGATTTCACCATCCTTATCAGCCAAAGTAGTGGACTCTAGGCTTTTGCCGCACTTCGCACATCGAAAACAGGCCTTGTGCCATGACTGAGGACAACACAAGAGAGGGGTTGTGAAAACCCAGCACAGTGCAAACAGGGACACCAGGGTCTATGACATTAGATTATTCTCAGATACTTCGTTTTAGTACGACAGCATTCTCCAAAAGCAATACATAAGACCAGCAGTACAGCTTTCAATTCCCAAATCTAGTCTGTGCTATAATACTTTAAAGAAATGCATTCCCTTCTTAGAAAAGTGTAAAAGTGAGTCTGTATGATTTACTTATTTAGAACATGTTCTCTCATTGTCATGGGTTCAATAAACTTTCAATAAAATCTGTGGATAAAATACAATAATATTTACCAATTACATACTGTGATTTCCAAATTGTGGGTTTTAAAAAAGCAGCTCTCCTATAGCTTTGAACATACACAGAGAAAGCCTTCTAAATACATTATGAAATATCTTGGGAGTTGGGGCCCAAGTCTAAACACGAAATGCATTTATGTTTCATATGCACCTTATACACATAGCCTAAAGGTAATACTGTAGACATTATTTTTAATAATTTTGCGCATAAAACAAGATATGTGTACATTGAACCACGAGAAAGCAAACATGTCACTATCTCCGCAATTTTGAAATTTTAAAGTATTTGGACTTTAGATGTTCAGATAAGGGATACTCAACTTGAACATACACCTGAAAAATTAGGCCCTTCCCTAAGACAGATCTGTCACTCTATTTATTTGTATAGATAATCTACAAATCTGACAGCAGATTGTGTGAAGCTGTTACAAAGTACTAGTTGTAGCACAGCCAACTAAGCTGCTTAATGTACTAAGAATTTATGACATAGAAATAAATATAACAAATATGAATGACAAATAATTGTAATGTATGACAAATACGTGTGGATCTATTTAGTTGTCTTCAGTCACATCTGGTTCACATCCAAATCAATCTATGACTGAAAGATCAATCAATGTTTGACTGAACTTAGTGCTAGCTGTCAGCAAGAAACTTTTACCTTTCCACCTCCAACCACCTTTTCAGCAGCATACACAGCCTGCCCACAGCGAGGACACCCATCAGCACCTCCCACTTTCTGTGCCATTTTGGAAGCATTGGGATTATTGGTGGGCTGATGTGGTTGAGGCCTGTGGGATTCAATGGAGAAAAAAGTCATTTTGTATTAATAACTAAAATAATAATAATATAGAGATCCAGTGTAGAGCAGTGGTTTGAGCCTTGAACGGCAGTTCTGGAAACCAGAGTGTGAATCCCTACTCGGCCATGGATACCCACTGGGTGTCCCTGGGCAAGTCATATACTATGAGCCAAACATCTCATGACAGGGTTGTCATAAATTGGAAACAACTTACATAACAACTATATTTGTCATTTTGTGCAAATACACAAACATATATGTGTGTACAGATATACACAGTTTATGCACACACATAGAACAGAGCCATGAAAAGTTCCATGTTAGGACAAAACTCTCAGAATTATCCAGTGACCCTGCCAAGTATGACGGTTTCTATTATTTGTAGTCCAAATACAACTTTTCTGAGGAAAGTGTTTGATAAAGTCAATTTTGGCTGTGCTTATGGAAGAAATTGAAAAGCAAAATGATGTCTCATCAGTATTCTCAGGATAATAATAATAATAATAATAATAATAATAATAATAATAATTTATTTGTACCCCGCTACCATATCCCCAAGGGACTTGGTGCGGCTTACATGAGGCCAAGCCCACAATACATCAATACAAGCAATAACAACAACAATAAACAATTAAAATAAAACTCATAAACAAAAAAGCAATTACCTGTCAAAAAAGCATAATCCCTCCAACTAAATCATAGGCCAATGAATATGTGTATTGGTTTTCAATAATATATTTTTGAATTACTTTTGTCACCCTGCTAAAACATAGAGATATTTTTGTGGTGGTACTAAAAGGGGAAACACCAATATACATAAGAGACAAAATCCTTGACTGCTATAGACAAAAGATTTCCATTTGTTTTATAAAGGCACAATGACTCAAACTTACGCTTCGTGTTTGATCCCCAGTGCTTCTCCCTTGTCCATGCTCAAAGTCCCAGCTCCCTGCCCAAAGCCATAGCCTTTGGGTCCATACTTCTTCCCATAGCATGATTTGCAGTAGATCTCTTCTCCATGCACCGCCACTGTAGTGCTGTCCAAGTTCTTTTTACAGACCACTGCAGAAATTGGAGAGGAGGGAAAATACAAATTAGAAGCCTAAGTGCCGGGCCTGGCTTCTAAAATTGGCAGCCTAAAGAGATTTCTGCATTAGCAATTCAAAGTAATATATAGTTTAGGATGATGTGCAACTTGGGATAATATGTTCACTGTAAAAAGCAGCAGTCAATAGACTAACCACAGCAATTGGGAACCAGTGAAGTCTCCAAATGTAGCTCCATAGAAAGTATGTTACTATAACTCAAGCAGGATATAATCAAGTCTCGTATCACATCTGACATCTAGGAATGGATACAACAGGTGTACTAATTTTAACTGTGAAAATGCACTCCTGCAGCTGATAAACCCTCGGTATCCAGATTCAAAGTTCAGGGCCCTTCTAGACAGGCCCAGGATCTGATCCCAGGTTTTCTGTTTTAAAATGGATTATATGAATCTGGACTACCAGATAATCTGGGGCAAACAGAAAACCTGGGATCAGATCCTGGGATAAAGGGCCTGTCTGCAAGGGCCCTCACTCCAGGAGCTAAAAATCTGTGAATTTGTTCTCTAATTTGCACTTCTATCTTGTCTGGATTAAGCTTCAATTTGTCCACTCATATCCATTCCATTACTGATCACAAAAACTGCTTTTAATATTAAAACAGCTTCTTTGGGAAAAAGGGAAACTCAGTGTTATCAGCATATCGGTAATACCAAAAATGAAAACTCTAGACAACCTCTCCCAATGTTTTTGTGCACAAGTTAAAGGGCATGTAGAACAAAACTGAGCCTTGTGGAATACCACAGGCCAATGGCCATGGTGTGAAACAAGCATTTCTTAGCACCAGAACATATAATTTTCTGTACAGAAAAAAAACGTTTCCTGTATTATGTACCAATTTTACACAGAATAAGTCTGGAACTGTGAATCGCCTTTGTGGACTGCATAGCTACCAAAGACTTTCTCACAGTGGTAATGGCTAAAAATAGTTGTTGCTTTCGTAAAGAACAGCTGTGAAGAATTACATACCTATTCATCACAGCCTCTTTTTAGGCAGCCAGGACTCTTCCTTGCTGTTTTTATAAGACAGGCACAGGTCTTATACACATGTAGTAGTTCTCACCTCTTTTAGAATCCTGTTTACATCCTTAAGTTGTACACATTACAAATGTACCCAATAGAAAATGACATGTGAGGGCCTATGTTGTTGATTCTGCTATTTCTACTAGTAATAGTAGTACTACTAGTAGTAGTATTGTTATTATTATTATTTGCACCCCACTGTTCCCCAGCACAGAGACCCAAACAATACATCTACAAAAGCTGAATAAACTATAGCATCTAAATAGCAGCTGAAATGGGAGATATTGCTTGCAAAATGTTGTCTATGCCCCTGCAGAGCCATTGGCTGTGCTGGCTAAGACTGGATTTTTAGTCCAACAAAATTCTCCCCTCTTCCTCTTTTTAGACAAAGAAATGAAGGTCAATATGCTTCCCTCTCCCACTAGTTTAGATAATAAAATGAAGAATTTCAGCAAAACTATTAGAATACAACACTACACAAACATATACGTGTTTGAATGTGCCTAATTGCCTGTTGACTTATGGCAACCCCATGAGTTTCATAAGGTTTTTTTTTTTAAGGCAGGGAATACTCAGAGTTGGTTTTGACAATGCCTTACTTTGAAACATTGCCTACAGCACTTGGTTTTCATTGGTGGTCTTCCACCTATGTACTACTACTAATAATAATGAAAAAACTTTACTTTTATCCCACCCTATTACCGCAGGGAGCTTTGAGATGGTTGAACAGAAGCTCTCCAAAGCTCTAGGTGTGCTTACTGTCTATTACAGAGAAAACCAACTGATCCCTAATCCATCTAAAACACAGACATGTGCCTTTCACCTTAAGAACGAGAAGCATCCCGAGCTCTGAGGATCACCTGGGAAGGAATCCCACTGGAGCATTGCAGCGCACCCAAATACCTGGGAGTCACTCTGGACCGTGCTCTGACCTACAAGAAGCACTGCCTGAACATCAAGCAAAAAGTGGGTGCTAGAAACAATATCATACAAGCTGACTGGCACAACCTGGGGATCACAACCAGACACAGTGAAGACATCTGCCCTTGCGCTATGCTACTCTGCTGCTGAGTATGCATGCCCAGTGTGGATACACATCTCACCACACTAAAACAGTGGATGTGGCTCTTAATGAGTCATGCCGCATTATCATGATGTCTACGCCCTACACCACTGGAGAAATTACACTGCTTAGCCGGTATTGCACCGACCTGACATCCGCCGGGAAGTAGCAGCCAATAGTGAAAGGACCAAGGCAGAACATCTCCAGATCATCCCTTGTTTGGGTATCAGCAGCACATCAATGACTTAAATCAAGAAATAGTTTTCTTAGATCTACAGAGACACTCGCTGGAACACCTCAGCAAGCGAGAGTCCAAAAGTGGCAGACTCAAACCCAGCACCTCAATCCGTGGGCGATACCAGATGAGAGACTTCCTCCTGAGGACACAGAAGACTGGGCGACTTGGAAGGCACTGAACAGACTGCGCTCTGGCACCACGAGATGCAGAGCCAATCTTAAGAAATGGGGCTATAAAGTTGAATCCACAACATGCGAGTGTGGAGAAGAGCAAACCACAGACCACCTGCTTCAATGCAACCTGAGCCCTGCTACTTGCACAATCGAGGACCTTCTTGCGGCAACACCAGAGGCACTCCAAGTGGCCAGATACTGGTCAAAGGACATTTAATCAACTACCAAGTTTGCAAAATTTGTGCTTTTTTTATCTGTTTTTTTGTTTTGTTCTGTTAGAAATGCAATACAATGGTATGGTTGCTGATGACATGATAGATAAATAAATAAATAAATCCCACCCTATCTCCCCAATAGGACTCAGGGCGGTTAGCTTCCAGGATCAGATGACCCTGGTTAGCTTCCAAGATCAGATAGGATCTGGTAACATATAGGAATCTGAAAAGAAAGGCCCATATTGACCTATTTGTCCATCAGGTGCTATATTCTGGAATAGATAAAGACTCAATCTCTTCGCAATAGGATCAGACTTCAAACTACTGCTTCCAAATTCAAAGGAATTAGACTTTCAAATCCATTAGTATCCTCAGGGGAGACACGGTTGTGGCTGCCAACAACATTCAGCTTGCCTGCTAGCCCAAAATGAATTATCCTACTCTCAAAGAATGCAGAAACAAAACAAAGTGTTCCCTAAGGAATGTCACAGTAGCAACGGTAGCCGCAGCCTCTATACCTCACTACTAAATATGGGGCTCCAGAACTGGATTCCTCATCTTCATAGCCAAATATGGTGCTTTGCCTTTCCTAACTGGCACTGGCTTCTCTGGAGACAAGTTACAGGAGGAGGAGGAGCAATAACCAGATGTAAAACCATGACAAGAGGATTGTTAAGAAACTCCTTATGGCTTGTTACTCCCATAATAATATTGAATTCTAAAATGGAATTCTGGCTCTGATGTCTGTGTAGAAAGATAGATTCTTTAAATAAATCAATCCATTGTCACTGATTTAACAGGAAGGCAGCACAATCCATCAGGTTCAATAGCAGGAAACCAAATTATAAATAAATAGTGGGCTCCAGTTACATTAAAGCAAACAACATATTTGTCCTGAAATGTTTGGAATTACTAAACAGCTGACATTAGCAAAACAAAACAAAACCCTCACACCAAATATCTAGACCTTTTGAACTTTTCTGAGCTCATGGTTAAGGAATCTCCGTATCAAAACATTAGAGCTGGAGGCCTGATCTCAAAATAATGGGTTAGAATTTTAGCAAGGAATTTAGCAATGGTCTCATAAAGGTTTGCACAAAGCGCTAGATTTGGGGGGGGGGGGTTGATTGAGAAGGGAAAGCTAAAATGACAGTGCAGTAAAAAATATAAAAATAAAAATGATATCTAGTCATTCGATGCCTCTTATTGTTTATTTCATTATGTTAATCTCCTTGTGCTGTGCATTTTAAATGGAAAAGTGGTTTCAAAATCTTCATAAATAATATTACATAACAGTTTTGTCCCACACTTCACACATGTAGCATGGCTTTGCAAAATAGTTCATTGTTTGTAGACAGGTAGGCATCCTGTATAGTATTTGGCTTTCTATGGCATATACTATATAGTGTGATCTTTGGCTCTCTTGCATTCTGAGTTTGAAAACACTACTGCTAGGGAAAGCAGATATTTCCATGGTATAAAAGATTTTAAAAACACATATTCAAATGTTTATATCTTGCTTTAGTAGTATGTCATGCTTGGTTCTTCAGGTGCATTTCTGCCCATATTGAATCACTTTGATGTAAAAAAAATAAAATCCCTGTTCCAAGATTATACAATGATCCTCCAGGTATTTTTTTGTCCTCAAACTCCCACCGGATTAACCAATGACTGTAGGAATCACAACCCATCTAGATCATGGTTGCTCACATCTGTTACAGAGGATTAAAAAAGACACAACACTGATAGATAAGGTTGTCCTGGTCATGGTCATTTTGTTCCCAAGTATGAAGTTAATGTGAACATAACGATCAGAGATGAGTACAGATAAAAAGGTTGGAATGTACTAAAAATTTACTTTTGGATGCCAATGCAATATGTCTACAATAAAACCCATTAAAGCAACAAAACAGCTGCTGTTCTACTGTAGATCTCCCATGGAAGAGAGAAGTTCCTTCAGAACTTTGATAACCACAAACCATCATATCTTGCATTCAATAACATGTTTCAGCATGTTTAAAACATAAGGAAAGCTTTTCATGTATGTGATTCTCAGTGACCAGAATAACCATATTGTATAAGTAATAACAAGATAGAATTAGTAAGTACTACATTGGATGCAGGATTCAGCAGTGCATATTAAAAAAAAACAACCCCTAAACATCCTCTGGCTTAAGAAGCTGTATATTTGATTCTCACTTTCATATCAATTTCACGAGGAACCTCTTAAAACAGGAACAGGGAGTGTGTAACACTTAAAATGTTGTTGGATCAAAACCCACATCAGCCACCAGCCATTGTAACCAGTTTTGAGTTATGTTGGGAGGTGATGTCAAAAAGTATCTGGACAGCCACATGTTCCCCTTTCCTCTTGTAAAACTCATGACATATACAAGAATCTGTAAACACATGTAGGATAGCAAGTGTATTAACAAATCTGGTTCCAAATATAAGTAAGATCTAACACTGTTTTCCTTACATCCCTGAATACACTGGAAAATGTCCTGCATGGAACTTAATGGGACTTCTGAAAAAATAATCTGTGGACATGTGCAAAAAAAGTTGCATGTCCGCTTCCTTCAACTTCAACACAATTCTTATTGATTTTGTTTAATATGCAGAGTGGTATACACTAAAATAAATTTCAACAATTTTAAAACTTCAGCAATATAATTTAAATTGTTAAATGATATCAAACAAGCAATGTAAAACCATGTACATGAACAAAATCGATAAAATCATTGGATCCCCAAAACCTTACTTTGGTCACTGGAATTAAGCCAGTTTTGGCAACATTCAGGGCTCTACAAACATTCTTCATATGATTTGGTATTCTACAGCCTTAGTGCTACTAGAGAAAAGAGTTATCTTTGGTTTTACTGTCTGCATTTCATTTGTCTTTCAACACAATCTGCAATGTAGAAAAGACTTCATGGATAGCAAAATAAATGTCTTGGGTTTAAGATGCCGAAAGACTTTGCTGTGTTTTTGTTGCCACTGAATAATTTCCTTCTAGAACTATTTAAATATGATACATTTAAATATGATACAATATTTAAAGGCTATGAAAATCAGTTGTTATCTGTACAAGATACAAATTAAATTAATCAATGTGGATGGCATCACTGAATTAGGTTCAGCCAGAAATCAAATAACCCACAAATTTTGGAAACATTTGTAAGGAAATTGCTTTGGATATATATACCATTTTCCCCATAAGAGATATAAAGTATCAAATAATTCAAAATGTTTCAAGGTGGCTGTGTTCAGCAGTTTGTCTTTCCCCAGCCTCTCTTCTTTCTTTCCCTTTTACCAAATGCCATTTCAAGTAAGCTGGTCTTTCACAGCTAAACCAAATTTGATCTTTTTCCCATTACATTGGCTGCAGAAAGCCCAACATTTATTTACCATACTGGGAAGAATAAGTAATCTGAGGCTTGTATGTGTGCTGCTATACTCACTGCATAAGAAGCATGATTTGTGGAAACTGTTGCCTTCACATTGCACCTCCTCAGCAAAGTACACTGTTTTTTGGCACACGCCACACTTCTTTCCTCCACCCCAGTTTGGCATCCTGTAAAGACAATAAATGAAACAAATGTAATTGCTAGAAGACAAACTAAAAAGGGTAAAGAATCCACACTGACTCTATACAGAATTGCAAAACAGACACTTAAAACAATTGTTAAAGGCCAGTAGTCACTTTGGGATTGCTTGGGAAAAGATAAAACTTTGTGTGTCTTAATGATTAGCCCCAAACTTGTTTGATAAGAGATTTGGTATTTGGAGAGTAGCAGCTCATGAAGTTGTATTTATAATATTGCCCTCAACTCCTCCTATATTGTTTTGTTTTCCTATGCCTCTTTATTCCTGCATTGTTTTGTGTGCATTTGTAGCACAAACATGCAAATTCAATATAATAAGAAATGACTATAATAGCAGCTCCTAACTTTTTATTGGATATGTCTCAGTGCGATGTGTAAGGACAACATTGGTTTGTTCCCTAGGAATGAAACTACAAGATATAGATTTATCACTAGAATAGTTAACATTTTGAAGTAAAACTGCCTCCATGCACTTGTCTCTTACCATTTTAGGAATGCCACCTTTCCTGTCTGAAGTTAAGAAGGAAACCAGTGATTGTTCAGGAATCCTATTCACACAACATGCCTGAATTCAGCAAATGTTGGCCAATAACAGTTCCCAAAATATTGTTAACAACAATCTAGTTCTAATCACAATAAATCAGGGATACACTGCCAGTGAATTGTATGTGGCTCTGAGTTGGCTTATGCCATCCTGTACACACTATCAGTAGTCCTAGGATCTAACTGAGGTCACAGAGGATAATCTCTTTAATTGCTATGATTGTCTTCAGTCAAGGGCTTTATTCCATCTCTGAAAGTTATTTCATTAGGGCTTGCTTCTGAGCAGAGAGAACTGAGTTCTTGTATGTATACCCAAAGCATGTTGTACTAGGGCTCGCTTCTGAACAAACATGCTAAGAATCTGAAGTATAGATTAGGCTTGGTTGTGTCCATGCTCTGATTGGCTGAGAATGGACACAAATGGCAACTACAGTGTGTCTTATTTTTTAAAAAAACTGTTATGGTAAAAACTTAAAATAATTCTAAAAATTAGTAGATTTGTGATTTTTTTCCTGAAACTTGGCAGTTGAAAATGGGGTATAAAACTGAGGTAGGTTTCATGCAGATCGGCCTTTAAATGACCAAGGATTGAGCCCTTAAAGTTTCCCATTGTAGCCAATTAGCTGAATCTTTGCTGAATGAAAATGGCAACACTTCTCCTGATTCGAGTAACTTTCCAGTGAACAGAATGAGGGGTTAGCCTAAAATGGACCCTGAAATGGCATGCCTTTTGGGTGAATTGCACAAGCCTAGTGTGTAGATGCATGTTTCTTAAGCATCTCTATTTGAAGGTATAAAACTTAGAGGGCAACCACATGCCCTTTCTGTGGTAGTGATAATCTACAGATGAAATACGTAGGTCCTCTCTATAGACATTATTGGAAGACTCCAAAGCAAACACAGAATCTAAACTTTGAGTAGACAGTCCTTATGACTTTGAGAGCAAGTACTATAATAGTTAGAAGATAGTTCATCTTTCTTTCCTAGCAAGGCTCCTGGACCTTTAACAGCTGAACAAAATGTAAGTCAAACAAAACTTTCTCCATCACTTTATTACCATGGTATGAAAAGGTGATGTACAATTGTTAACAAAACAAACAAACCAACTGAGCGAGTACTATACAAACAAGACAAGTTTTAATGAAATCAGGTAATCTCAGGCGGGGTGATCAGAAGCAGAGAATATTGTATGAATAGCTATGTACACAGAGGAATTTCTACAAGTACAATGTTCCGCATCAAACCTTACCTGCTGAAATCCTCTCTTTTATACAACTATTGTCTCCAAAATCCCCCCATCCTACTTGGTATCGATCAGCCCAAGAACAAAGTGATTTTCAGATATAAGTTGATCCATTGTTAAGGTCAGTAAAAAAATATGTAAAAAGCACTGTCCACTAACACACAAGGACTAGCAGAAGAACTAGCACAAACAACACCATATGTGATCATACTGAATTGTTAGAAAACCAGCATACTGCAGTGGTTTGAGTGATGTATTAGGACTCTGGATTAAGATCCCGGTGACCTTGGTCATGTCGCATGATCTATACCTTAGTGGAAAACAGTGACAAACCTTCCCTGAATAAATCTTGCCAAGAAAAAAATATGAAACACTGACGCAACTCATAGTCATCTTGAGGTTATACAACAAGAAAAAAATGGATTGTGAAATGGCCTCTGCAATACCTTACATACAAGCAGGAAAAAAACCCATTTAATATGAGAATTGTACAAGAATGTAAATGGGGTTGTCAGTAACAGTATGATGTCACTGGACTCTACCTCATCTGTTCCCAGGCACAGCTGACAACTGACCTGTCAAGCTAGACTGAAGTACATTGACTGAGAGACTTTTATTATGGATCTCATCACGCTAGAAGAGAGTAGGTTCAAGTCCCTGCAGTTGAAAGTGGGGGCTGCAAGGTATTCTTGAGCAGCCTTTCTAAAACCCTTTCCCCTAAATATTTTAGCTTAAAATTAATGGCATGGGTTTGATAAAGGACAATTAAATTGCAAAAAAAAAAAAAAAACCCCAACAACAGGCAACTGTTTTACAATCAAAGGGATACCTCCTACCCATTAAATAAATATTTATTCCTGTGGTCTTTTTCACCACATCCTTTTCTCCATAATGTCCCACAAACTAACATTTTGTGTTCTTCTAGCCCTGCCTCTCAGCCAACTCATTCCAGCTTGAGGGTTGCTTAGCTTGCCTTAAAAGGAGATATGGCCCAGAGACTCTCATTTCCTTCTGCTGGAGCAGGAGCTCAGTAAACTGTGCAGGAAGGAGGCCAAGCCTGACTTTCACAGACAGGAGTGAAGTTAAAAGACTGTTTCTTTCAGAGGTACAATGGTGACTATGAACATATGAGAAATAAACACAACTGGTGCAGAGAGCACTGACAGGAACTTTGGTGGCCAAACTGCAGAATTTTAGCAGTATGTAATCACAATTACTGCCATGGCTACGGAATTCTAGGATTTGCAATTTTCTGAGATATTTATCCTTCTCTGTCAGAGAAGTCTGGTGCCACAACTACAAATCCATGGATTCCATAGCATGGAGCTATGGCAGCTAAAATACCAAACTGCTATAATTTTGCAATCTGGATGGGAGGCAGGTCCTCAAAGAAGGAAAAAGGACATTTCAGTACATGAAGTTTCTCACATTCTTTTGGGCTCAATAAGGGTTCTTCTAGATTGGAGAACTGGATTGTCTCCAGCAGTCTTTACAGAAATACTCGCATACACACTTTTAGCTTTTCCACATTTTATTGTGTGATCATCTGGAATGGAAATGGGTTTAATTGGCACTGTTACCACCTAATATATGTAAAATACCATGAAAGTGTAAAATATTTGCTCTGATGCAACCCACTGCCTTGAGAAGTCACATAAACAGATGAACAGAGTCTACCTGGGTACAATGAAAGTGTCAGAAAAATTCTAGATTTGGAAAGCTGTCCACTAAAACTAATGAGCCGGACAGGGCCGTAGCCAGAAAAAAAATTCGGGGAGGGTTGAAAATTTCAGGGGGGGGGAGAGTTTTGAAAATTTCGGGGGAAAATTTGGGGGGGGGGGGTTGAAACCTGCCTCCTAGCTCACGCTGAAGCAAAGAGCACAGCAGGGGGCAGAGCAGCCTTCAATAGCCTGCAGCTCCGCCCCTGTCAACCACCTCCACCAAGTCTGGCCTCCTTAATGAGAGCATTCAACACCCCCCCCCCAACTTGGTTGCTTCGCTACATCGGCTATTGCTGCAAGTAATGACAGTGTGAATAAATTGTCAATATTTGCTTGAGATGGTGCATGCAGTTCTGGAGGGACTCTTAATTTTTTGCATCTCATAGACTTAGCATTATCTTTAAATGTTTTTCTTTCTCATATTCTGTATGCCATTAATTCACTTAATAAAAAAAACACAGACACAAACACACACATGGAATTTTAGGAGCTGGTCTAAAACATCTGGAGGACCAAACTTTGGGAACTATTGCTCCACAGGAAGCAAGATTGAGGGAAAGATTGATGGAGAAAAAATTCGCCCATTCTAAAAGAGAACCCATTTCAGAATATCGGGGATCTGGAAAAAAAACATTTGCCTTCCAGCAGAACAATGAACCTAAGTACAAAAGTAACATGAAGTGATCTGAAAATGTCTTAGAATGGATGGATAATAGCATAGACTTCAATTTGATTGTGAATCTGAGGCAATAAAATGTGGAAAATGTGTATATACGCACTTGCTTGTGTGTTTGTGTATGTGCTTGGAGAAAGCGTCTAGGTTATGATGGACAGTGGAGGAGTTTCTGACTCGGAATTAAGAAGCGTGAGTCACCTATCCACAACCATTAAACATTCTCAGCTGATAACCAAAGAACGTACAAATCTCTGATTGGCACAAAACAGAGCACACTACAAGTTGAGGCAAAGCTCAGAAGCTTTGCTTATCCAAGCTGCAACTGGAGCAACCCGTCATACAGTTGACCCAGGGCCAACTATATTATCTGTCTGTTCAGCAAATAATTAGGAAAACCACAGAAACAATTGAACTTTCTTTGAATTTAGAGGAAATGCTGCCATCTGCTTGCTAGGCAGTATCAATCACTGACAATCCAGTGCATAATAATTTGGGGTGGTGTGGTTTAGTTCAAAGCTTTTGACCACATTCTAAATCTAGCATGATGTCAATAAAATATTGTTATGTCTTGAAAGATAATAATATTGAATTACATTTACTGAATGTACAGACACAAATAATGTGTGGAGGTCAAACACAGCTATTTTAGTGGGAAGCCACAAATCTGCAAGAGGCAGCCCGGTTGAGCACCACATTAGCATAATACTAGAACAGCTCAAACCTCCCCCCCCCCCAAAAAAAAAATAGTGTCTGGTTTTTAGATCTTCTCCTGAGGTTATTTGGGGC